TGATTGTATTGTCCTTCCCTCAACCGATCGTATTTAATATAGAAGGGAAATGTTTCGACAAACCTGATTAAAAATGTAGATCTAAGGTGACGAATTTATAACAGGTTGGGAACTACATATAAAAAATGGATGCAGATCGAACTAGATCTCATCTGTCGAATTAGGAACTGGTTTGGAACTAAAGAAAAGGGGATGCAGAACGAACTATATCTCATCTGTCGAATTTGGAACTGGTTCGGAACTATAGAAAAAGGGATGCACAACGAACTAAATCTTATCTGTCGAATTCAGAACTGGTTCGGAACTAGAGCCAAAGGGATGCAACGGGGGACAATTGACACTTCCTAGGACATCGCAATGTTAAATTCGCCAGTCGCTAGCATGAAAAAGAGAATTAACACGTACTAGTCATGATTCCAAACGCACTAGAACCGAACCAGTTCCGCACTAGTTCGTTTCCCTACAGGGATCGAGTACTTTTGAGGATCAAGGTCTCTGGTATCGATACTTTTAAAGATCGGGTATTTTTGGAAGTACTGAGTATCTTCTTTAAATTTCAATTCTTAGTGTAGAAATCTCACAAGCTGGCATCAGTTTATGAATGGCTAACTTTACTGGGTTCAAGTAGTGTAATCGAGTACATTAATTTCTAAATACCGGTAAATTTAAAAAAACACAGTACTTTTAAGTACCTGTTCGACACTTAATACTCAGTACTTTTAATCGATCCTGATTACATGTATCAAAGTGATGATTGGAACCGAGTACTTTAGAATACTGAATACACTCGAGTTCTCTTACGTTCTGTACTCAGTATCGATTCTTTTAAAAATCGGGTGCTCTCGATCTTTTTGAGAATCGAGTTCTGAATACTAAGTACCGCTCAACGCCTATAACGAGAAAATTCACGATTTTTTTTTAAATACGCCAAATTCAGCTACAGTGTTTTTCTATTCCTCAGAAATGAAAGTCTGAAAACCTCAAAGAGTAATACATTAATCAAAGTTAGATTTTATGCGAGTTGCACTAGAAACTTCCAGATTTTCTAGATTTTAGCGAGTAAGTTAGTCATATAAACCGATAGTTCTGTTAAAAATAACTATTTAGTGATATTTACACATATACGTGGAATTAACGAAGGTATAGAAACCGGACTTGACAGTGGAGATGCTTTGTGGCAGCAGTAATAAGTCAATACGTAAAATCTCCCGATTTCAAAAGATTTCCCCATATATTTTCAATTCAAACCTACGTTGGATATAGGGCAACATATATACTATAAAGCAGTCATGTCTAACGCTGGAAGAACTCTATAAGCAAGTGCCCCGCGCTGGGGAAAAAAATATTAAAATCAAATAGAAATGTAATTGATCTTACTATAAACGTCAACGAAAGTACTGTATATTGGTAAATATTCAATTCAATTACGCGCATATTAAAATTACCGCGTTCGTACGGAAAAAGCATCTGTGAAGTGAATAATCAAGACAAAAACTAAAAAAAAAAAAATTAATTTGCATGTGGATTTGCAGTGGAATTCGAACCCGACCATCTCCGGATATCAACAACTTGTGGTAAGCATCTTTACGCACTCAGCTACACCCAGGCATATAAATTTGCTTTCAAATGTTGAATATCCATCAACACCACAGCACGCGATTTGTACGGACAAACATGTAGTTCTGAACTGGTGCGCCTGTAGTACGTTTAGACCCAGCACTGGTTCGCGATTAATCTCTTTTGCATACAAACAACTGGCGAATTTAACATGGCGATATAGTTCCGAACCAGTTTTAAAAACGCCAGACGAAAGAAAAAAGTATCATGATTTTTAAATCTTTCGGTTCTTCTATTTTCAAAGAAACGTTTTTTCGATTTGAAATTAAATTTGTTTGAATGATTGTAAGAAATGTACGTTTACATACCTTTGGCTGTAGCTGACTTTGCATAGGTGCTCGCTGTTATTGGTTAGTTTCCAGACGGCCCCAAGATGTTAATATGTTAACACAAAGTTTTGTTTTCTATTACCAAACTATGAAATAGCATCTGCGAAGTGCAAAATGAAAGTGCATTTGAACGAAAAAGCCGCCAAACACATATCTATGTAAAGTAAACAAGCCCCCCGCCGCATCCCTTTTTCGATAGTTTCGAACTAGTTCTAAATTCGACAGATAAGATCTAGTTCGTTCTGCGTCCCTTTTTCTATAATTCCGAACCAGTTCTAAATTCGGCACTTTAAATATAGATTTCTAATGAAAAAAAGAGAAATAAAATAGTTTTTTATGAGTCCCACATTTCGCTGATTTTGAACTGGTGGGGATCTACTTACTATCGGACTGGTTCGTTTTTGGCGATAAAGTTCTTGTACGGAACTAGAAATTTTATGCACCAGTCCGCGGTTTCCCTGCAGGGGCACTCAGAGCGGCGCTCTGCATGCTTGGGGTGCGTACGTACACTCACACAGTCAAATACGTGCGTAATAAATTCTGTATGAAAATATTATTTTTAAATACGAACATTTTTAAACGATAATCAAATATAAAGTATTCATTTTTAATATGCATTGTTTCCCTCAGTGTAGGCGGTGTTTTTTTTTGTTTGAAATCTTGATTTTTCGAATATCGAATAAACCGGACTTTTTATCGATGAAACCGTTTTTTATTTCGTACAAATCTGTACCTCTCAATAAAATTTTCGAGATTTTCGAAGTTTCCAAGGTTTTTTCCAGTTCTAGGTTATTTTGGGATGAACAGTATATCATACATAATTCCAATAAATGAATGTTTAACGCTTAAGCGTTTTCTTCCGGTTTGGCCGAGCTTCTCCTCGTGCTCAGCTTCTTGATGTTGTGATGCAAATGGAGAGATCTACTCTTTTACTCACCTTCCGAAGAACATTTTTTATAGCAGAAGTGCACTCGTAGGTCTGCCGAAGGGAGACCGCTATGTGAAAAAAAAACTTTTTTGATGTTGCTTTTTCGTTATTTTCTAAATGAAAGCTATCTTTATTGTTTATAGTTTTATTGTAATTTTTGGTCATGACTTCATACCTATATAAGCATTTCCATTGTATGAAAACAATGTAAAATAAAACTGGTTTATCAGGTTTTTTCTTAAGTTCAACATCGAGCACCAGTTTTTTACAAATTGCAATTTTTCGTAAAACTCTAGAACCGGTTTTGGAAAAAAAGCGAATAATCGAACACCCCAGTATTACAGTCAGCGTCAAAAATATGAATACTCAGACGTTTTATTATTTATATACTCCATAGCAAATTTTTCTTATTTTTTTTATAAAAATATAGTTAGTTCAACAGCAAAAATCAGCAGCATCAAATTTTTCAATGACATCAAAATTTTTGACTTTTCAATTCGATTTCTTAGAAAAATTTTGAGTACGCAGTTTTGTAGCCCATTGAATTTTAGTATAAAGTTTCAAGTCTATAAAAATTACCGTTGATTTTTGAGATTTTTTTTTTTTTTTTTTTGGCATTTTCTTCCACCTAAAAATAGATTTTGTTCATGCGAAATCATGAAGAAATCGAATTATAAAGTTTGTTAGTATTTCTTGAATTTTCCCGAGCTCTATATGATATTGAATGAGTTATATTTTTATAACAAAATAACAAAAAAAAATTTTATGGAAAATACAAACGAAAAAAATCGTCAAAACGTCAGGGTATTCATATTTTTGACGCCGACTGTATGTATATTAGACCACGTCAAAAAAATAAAAGTCCTACAATGCGACCAGAGCTTAAAATTTTCGGCTCTGTTCATAAGTATACCTGTGTTCAGAAATGCATGAAGCCAAAACATCAGCCTCTTCTATTTCTAAACTATTACACGGTGTTCCAAAAAAAATAACGAAAGATACCCGAAACAAAACTTAATGTAGGTTATAGGTAGGGTACACAACAACAACAACATGAAAAAAACAGTCATTTGAATACGCGATGCACTTATCTATTAACAGTTTGACTACTTTTCGTTTTTTACTTTTTCGAATGAAAAAATTAAACATGTTTTGTAAAGGGGATTTATAGACTTTTAAAAATATATATGTATGTGTAACAGTCATGCCCAACGCTGGCAGAACTCCATAAGCAAGTGCCCTGGACTAGGCATACCTGATGTATAACAATGTATTGTTAGACTTCGTTTGTAGGGAGTTTTTATCGTGTAAAATTTAAAAACCCTACTTGGTGCTCTTTGGGGACTAATGGGTGTTGCATTTCTAGGGTCAGAGCTAATATTTCCTCATGGAAATATGATTTTTCTATTAATCTATTTTCTTATTGAGATTAGCTTACTATTGTTTTTTTTTTTTTTTTTTTTTTAAATTTATCTAAAAACTAGTTGAAGCTGATCTACACTTTAATTAAACTAATCGATTACTTACATGCGAAATAAATATTCCAGGCTCATGTGATCCAAACGGCACGCACGAATGATCCGTACCACCAATAATACTGAAGCCAAGCGATCCTTGATTCTTGGGTAAGATAACTTCCTATAATTTGAACAAAATGGTAAGGTTGAACAAGTGTCCTCGGTACAGTACCGCAATAAAAGTATAAACAAACATTTGAAACATACATATCTTCTAGAATTTACAATAAATACAATTTTGATAAACTTTTAAAAAAGTTCAATGAATATTGACGATGATGTGTATGGAAATTGTTGGTGATATTTACAAAATAAAAAACATTTTTGGTATTACATATAATCGCCATGTTAATAAAGCAAATAAGTAAGTAAATAATTAAAAGTACAAATGTCAATTCACATACGTATGTATTTTTCTATGCAATTTCGTGTTAATGGTGATCTAAGCACGGCTTTTAAAAATGTGCAATTTTTTTTGATGCGAAGAGGCATGAAATAGATGAGAGAATGTGCTGCTAATAAAACAAGCAAATAAATATACGAAGAGAAAACGTATGTATATGTATGTACTTATGTATAATAAAGGGAATACAAAACCAAATACCACAAATGCATTGAATTTTAAAAATAAAAACACAAGTGCACATAGTACGAGGGTCACTAAACAAGTCTATGGAATTCGCAACACTAATGTCATTTGAGTCGGGTGTTGAGAGAAATAACACAAACGGCAATAACGCAAATTTGTGTTATTTCCCAATTGAATGTGAAATAACAAAAATTTGCTTTATTTACTTAAAAGTATTGACTCAGCACATCACTAATGCTGTCATCTGGACTGTGACGTCAGCAAAACAGCTGATTCTGTCAAATTCACTGAGAGCCGATTAGCGGTATTGCCATCGGCGCCACCTGCTACATATAACGGGTGATTTTTTTGAGGTTAGGATTTTCATGCATTAGTATTTGACAGATCACGTGGGATTTCAGACATGGTGTCAAAGAGAAAGATGCTCAGTATGCTTTGANTAAGTTGGCCACCAAGATCATGCGATTTGACGCCTTTAGACTATTTTTTGTGGGGCTACGTCAAGTCTAAAGTCTACAGAAATAAGCCAGCAACTATTCCAGCTTTGGAAGACAACATTTCCGAAGAAATTCGGGCTATTCCGGCCGAAATGCTCGAAAAAGTTGCCCAAAATTGGACTTTCCGAATGGACCACCTAAGACGCAGCCGCGGTCAACATTTAAATGAAATTATCTTCAAAAAGTAAATGTCATGGACCAATCTAACGTTTCAAATAAAGAACCGATGAGATTTTGCAAATTTTATGCGTTTTTTTTAAAAAAAAAGTTATCAAGCTCTTAAAAAATCACCCTTTATTGTATATAAATGAATTATATTTTTGCAAATCATATGTTTTGAGTCATATGTTATATATACAGCGTAGTAATTTTAAAACTTCAAAATTACATTTCTTGACTGAAAAATAAAATATTCGAGCTAACTCGACGGCACATAGTGTGCTTTTTTAACACTTCATGCCAATTAATCGTAGCGCTTTCGTCAGAAGAAATATTTTGATATGAAGCAAAATGACTTTGAAAGCTAATTTAATTGCGATTCAAGGAAAAATATTGCCATTGAGTCACAATCACTACTTGACCTTAAAAAAATTTATCAAAAATAGTGTTCTTTGAAAAAAACATGCAAAATCCAACGGATATATTTAAAAAAAAAAAAAAAAACATTTTTTGAATTTTTTATTATACTAATATTAAAGATTTTGGGATGAGAAACATGATTCCACTGTTTAAAAAACGAAAAAAAAATATCAACCCCTCAATGCGTTATAATTGCATTTTTTATTATTTGCATGCAGCTGAGCATCCTTCACACAATTGTTACCCCTCGAAAAACAAGTCAGTTTTAGTGCTATTCAAGACCTTTAATTTAAGCCACGGAAGAAGTCTCTAGGCCCTTTCAGAGCTAAATTATTACGATTCTAAAGTTAAGCTTCGAAATTTTATTCGATATTTTAGGCAGTTTTTATTTTTTTTTCTAATTTCGGAGTAAAAACTAGTACAGCAGCTTCGAAGTTTGGTTTAAAATTGTTATAACTTGGCTCTCAGAGGGCCTAGAGGCTTCTATCTTAGCTCAAATTAAAGGTCTTGAATTGCAATTGTTGTTACAGGGATATATAATTGAGTGAAGGAAGCTGCATGCAAATAGAAAAAAATGCTATAAATAATGCATTTTTAAAATTAAGGTGTTCAAATTTTTCTTCGAATTTTGAACAGTGGAATCGTATTGCTCGTCTCAAAATCTATAATACAAGTATAATAAAAAATACATAAACTTTTTTTTTTGGAATAAATCCCGTGTATTTTGCATATATTTTTTTTGAAGAACTCTGCTTTTCACCAATTTTTTTAATGTCAAGGGGTAATTGTGGCTCTGTGGCCAGAATTGAAAGGGATTTACTTTAGCTTTCAAAACCATTTTGTTTCGTATCAAAATGATGCTTCTGTCGAAAGCGCTACGATTAATTCGCGTGCAGTGTTCAAAAAGCACACTGTGCGGCTTGTGAAAGGACAAGAGATGTATTTTAAAAGGCTGTGCATATTTTTCAGATATGAATTCAGCGACAGAATCTATATGAAATGGCCAATTTCATATCAGAAAAAAAAATTTCAATTAGCACGAAATTGTTCCGGAAGTAGAACCACAATACCAAGAGTGTAATTGAAATTCTTAACCAAACTCGGATTTCTCGACAGACTCGGATTTGGTAGTGGAAATTTCCCCTCGCTTTATTTTCTGACATTCGGATGTCTTATAGTCACATTTTATAGGCATGTTTTTAAATAAGGCAGTGTCAAAATATTTCTTCTCACTATAATATTACTTCACCTGGTGTAATTCCACCATGGGTGGGGTGCATGCAATAACACCATACGCAATAATTTCCATTACTTGGACATTAAAAAGTAGTTTCAGAAGTGAAATAGTGTCATTTTATTATTATACCTTTTCTAAACGATCATAATGACAGCAGTCCATAACTGCGAAAGGAGGGGAGGGGCGGAGGACGCGGGCGCGACGTCGCACGCAGCGTGGCGTGGGTGACTACATACTTTACAAATAGTATAAATAAGCAATGGGAAATAAGGCAAAATTTGTTTTATTTCCAAACTTTGTTGGAAATAAAGCAAAACTCAGATTTTGGTATTATTTCCCATTTAAAAGTGAAATAATAATTTACGTAACGAGTTCCTCGTTTACCACTGTGACGATTCGACCCATGGCTTCAAGAACGTAATCCATTCGGGTTTCAATATTCTACGCAGTGCACAACTGAGGTGGAGCTGATTTCCAGCAAATCCATTTCGAATTTAGCACAAACCGCCGAAGAATGGGATTAGTTAACCAGATACCACTCCTACAATAGACTTAGGGCCATTCTCTGAAGTAACCTTTAACTTTAAAGCTCACTTTATATTTAAAGGTTGGATTAAAGCAACGTCTAAAGTTAAGTATTTCTATTATCGGTTTTTGACGTATGTATGTTTCTTGGTTGTAAACCAATTTAAAACCGATAATAAAATGCTTCACTTTAGACACAATCATACATTTTAATGTAACCTTTATATATAAAGTGAGCTTTAAAGTTACAGGTTACTTGGGAAAACGGCCCTTAAACGAGTAACCGCGCATTTAATTCGCATTCTAATCCTCTATTCAGCCCAACACAAATAAGCGAGTATCGGGCCCGGAATCTAACAGCTTTGCATGCATGAGCACAGGCGCAACGCACTTGGAGTTGGCCGGGACCTTTCTTGAATTAGCTTTATCGCTGCATTTGAACGCTGTATTGGTGATGAAAAACTGGCATCCTACTTCGTTGACTGCCAAACGACTTGGCACTTCAATCCACCTAGCGCTCCTCACATAGGTGGGTATTGGGAAGTTGGTATAAATCGCACCAAATACCACCTGAAACGTTCCTTGGACTCTAATCTTTTATCCTACGAGGAATTCGCAACATTCCTGACACCAGGTCATTTTACGGTTGGCGAACCGCTAAAAGGCCTCCCCTGATCCAGATTTGGAGATATTCACGGGAACGCTCTTTCACGATGGCAAATCATTACAGCGATAAGGCAACATTTCTGGATGTGCCCGCGACAAGAATATCTCGCAAATATTCTGCAACGCATGAAACGACTTCGTTCAGCACAAAATTTACAAAAAGACGACGCACAGTGTTTCGACTAAACGGAGGCAGGTAAAGGGTGTTTTTTTTTTTTGGACATGTGGTTTTCAAGAAGAAATAAAACGCATATAGTTTAATGTTATGGCCAAGAATTTAGCTTTATTATAAAGATAAAGGTTTGCCATTATGTTTTAAAATTATTTCGGGCAAGTGGCCGCCGCAATAGGCTCGAATAAATTCCAGCCGAGAAACCCAATTTTCTACCACTTTTTGCAGCAATTGGTGCCGTATGTCAGCAATAACGCTCCGAACATTCTCTTCCAAGGCGTCAATCGTCTCGGGCTTATCTGCGTAGACAAGCGGCCTCATATAACTCCACAAAAAATAGTCCAGAGGTGTTAAATCGCACGTCACCAAAAGTTTGCTTCGCCTTGTTGGAACCAAAGGTCGTCCACATCAACATCCTCCAATTCAAGCACGAAAAAGTCATTAATCATGGCTCTATAGCGTTCCCTATTAACTGTAACATTATGGCCGGATTCATTTTTGAAGAAGTATGGACCAATGATTCCCTCTGCCAATAGAGCACACCAAACAGTGACTTTTTGAGGATGCAGGGGCGTCTCAACAATGGCTTGTGGATTATCATTACTCCAAATGCGACAATTTTGTTTATTAACGTACCCATTCAACCAAAATTCAGCTTCATCCCAGAAAAAAAAAATGTTCTTGTGAAAATCGGGATCGGTGGCCATCTCGTTTTGGGCCCATTCACCAAACGTGCGACGAGCTTGATGGTTTCGGGTTCAATTCTTGCACGAGTTGGATTTTGTAAGCCGCAAACCAAGATCCTTCCGCAAAATCTTCCATAAAGTGGATGGGCACATCTCCAATTGTTGCGCGC